ATATATTAATAATATTAATATAGTATATATAGATATATTATAGTCTATATATATCTCTCTCTCTCTCTCTTCTCTCTCTCCTCTCTCCTCCCTCCGCCTTGTGCGGCCCGCGTCTCCGCCCCCCCTCCTGCCCCGTCCGCCCACCCGTCCTCCTCCCTTCCACTTCCTCCTTCTCTCCCTCTCCTTTCCCCTTTGTCTCCTCCTCTCTTCTTTTCCCCCCCCTTCTTTTCTCCTTATCTTGTCCTCCCCCCGTCCCGGTCCCCGTCAGACTCTACCCCGCGCGCTCTTTTTTCTCCGTTCCCTTCTTCGCATGTAAACGAAGGAAATACAAGAAAAACCTCAGAGGAACAATGGTACTTTACCAAACCCAAAACATCAAGAAAAATCAATTAAAAAATGAGGGGTCATACTGGATAGTCTTCGCAGTTGACTATCTCGTTCCCGTGTATTTGGTCTGATTTAATTTAAAATAATTTATTTAATTCCAAATATTTAACTAGAATCGAGAGTTGGAATGTTCTGTTAATAAAATAAAACCTGAGTCAGTTCAAAATTAATTTATTTTCTTTGTGGAATCAATTTTATATTTGGAACAATCCAACCCTAGATCCTTTGCCAAGAACTGCTAACAACATCACCAAAAAATTTAAACTAAAACAAGCATGTTCTAATCTACCATATGTTCCTTTTTCATATCGTCGAATCTGTTTCAATAATCTCAATTCACAAGGTTTTCATAATAACAATCAGAGAAAGACCCTCTCGAACATATCTACTCTTTGTATCAGAAACTGACATACGGTGCCCTGTAACTACGAGAACCCCTAACACCTTCTGAGCACGCTGTTGCCGATTTCCATCTCCGTCAGTGGCGCTTTCCACGAACAATTAACATGGAAGGGAGACACAAGGGACCATCGTTTCTATACCCATATTCTCTCTCAGCACCATCCAGAAGCTCTTTGAACAAAGGGTGGTTCGCTATCTCGATCTTGATAACGAATCTCTCTCTCTCGGGTCCAACGTAGACACAAAGACAACCTTGTGGAGCCACACAAGCCTTCTTCCTATGTTGCCTTTCATTTCTCAATCTGCCATAGCTTCCACTTAAGCTGTTCTCCGGATACAATCTCTTGCTTCTTCCCAGTACTCTCTTCCACTTCTTCACAAACTCCATTTCTTACTCTTAAACTTATTTCTATATACTACCACAAGAAAATACATCTGTTCACTTGATGCATAAAGATATATAAGCGAGAGATGGAATACTGGGGTGGCAAGAGAATGATGATGAGCTTGTGTTTGTGGAAGTTAAGGTTGGTTTTCTTATATATAGAGAAGTTGGTTCATTCAATGGCTGTCGGTCTTAGTGTTTGTAATTCTTGTCAGTTTGCGCATGCTGTGGATTTTGATCCTTTTTTTTAGACTAAGTATAGCATGTTGTTGGCGGAAAGGGAAAGATACCACTCCTCTTGTTTGAGACTAAATTACTATTGCACAGTGCTATGTAAAAATAATTAACAATCAGACCTATCTGCCGTGGAAAAAGGATCAAATGTTTTATAAGGATCTAGTTAAGTTTAAGGATTTTGATCTCAACAATGGTTTGGCTATCATTGTCCTAAATAACAATACAAACACAGTCAACACGTCTTTGAATTGTATCATTTTATTAACATATGGGATTTGGTGAATCGAAATTAAGTTGTTAATAGTAAACACATGCTTGTATTTTGGGAAATATCAATATTATTATTAGCGTGAATTGTTCTACTGGTGTGCAATCGGCGTTCGTGGCAAGGTTTACAAATGTAGAAAACTGGTAAGAGGAAAGTCAGGCTGGTTGTGGGTGAGAACTGGGAGAAGCAATTTTCTTCGCCGCAACCCTATAGAAGAATCAACCAAAAGGTGGCGGGAAAAGTAAAAAGCTTTCCGGATTAAATATTTTTTCATAATATTTTCTGTTAAGAAAGGTCTATTTTTTGTAAGGTTAGGGGCGAGTAGTCACCTTTTAATTCATTTGATCAAAGAGTTATAGATCGTATCATCTTTCCACTAATTCTAACATGAGAATTTAAGAATGTAAGTACACAATAATATCATAACTTAAATTATTAACATTTACAAAATAAATTTTAACTATTAATCATAATATAATAATTTAATATACAATAATAATAATAATTTTAATTTATTCAATTACAAATTAAAAAATATTTATATTATACTTTTAATACATATATAATGACGAAAAATTTTAAAAATTTAAATTAAAAAAAGGGTTGGTGAACCAATCCATCGACCTATTCTGTAGTAAACGGATTAAAATTTTTAACTTGTTTTCTTATAACGGATTTATCCAATGCACCTTATTTTAATGGGCAAAAACGAAAAAACTTACCTATTTTATCACTTTTTCTTAGTATATAAAATAATTGATACAATATTTTAATTTTTATAGTAATATAATAATCTATAACTAAGTAACAATGACAATATGTTTTATTACATATATAAAATGAATTGAAATTTTGTTTAGGTAAAAAAAGCATATTTTTTTTCCTTTTAAAGTTTAAAATTAGTATACTTTATTTTTAGTTTCATATAATACTTTTTAGCATGTTGAAAAAAAAATTAAACTAATAATTCAAAACGTGACACTAGACATTTGTAATTTTAAAAAATAAAATAAAATAAAAGTCCTTTATCTACATTGAAATTAACAAAATAAATATAATTTAAAATATAAAATTAGTTAAAATAAAATAGTATATTTTGCATATACACTAAAATTAAAACTTTTATGTTTCATATGATTACAAAATACTAACTTTAGATATTAGAAAATAATTTAAAAAATTAAATTGAAAACTAGTTCATTTTACACGCAAATCTGTTTCTCTCTGTATTCTTATTTAATTTCTAAAAAATAGGAAGAAAGTAAAAGTGGTCCCGCAAGTTGTCGTTTCTGACATGTGGTAAACCTACAGTGATCTTATTCCTAACTTTCTTTTTGTTTTAGGCTTATTTAATTTTCAAGTTAAGAGCTAAATTTCTATTTTATATTCAATTTAAAAATTGAAGACATTAGATTATGAAATTATGAAAATTGTGTAAATTAAGTTTATCGTTTAACGATGTTAAACTTAAAAATGTTGACCTGAGTGTAGATGTGAGGTGTGCAAGAAATGTGGTCGTGACAATGACTTGTGGTAGGTTACTTGATGTGGTAAGGAAAAGGAAAAATAACGTGGTAGGGGAAAGTAAAAAAATCTCGTATCAAATTGGGGAAATTAAAATCTAGGATTTCTTTATCTTCAAATGAAAAGATTAGAGAAGTGAGGTCATAGATTGAGGATTTTTGACGTTCTCGAAGGATTGAAGGTGTGGAAGGGTTGACGGTGTGGAAGGACATTGTTGACCGAAAAGGGTTAGTGAAGGAGATTGTTTAGCGAAAAGGATTGACGTTGCAGTGATTGTTGTTCGAAGCGAAAAGGTCCAAGGTACTTTGGCAGTTGGTCAGGTATGCAAGTTTTTGAGATCATCCATACTTCCAATATTGCTGAAAAGTTTGTGGTTGATGTAGAGAAAAGAGATTGTAGCTGTAGGAAGTGAACTGTAACAGGAATACCTTATTGTCATGCACTGACTGCCATGAGGTTTTTTTTAATCATCATGCAAAGAGCCTCATCACACTTTGGGGTTATCTGTAAACCGTCAACTTATGAAGAAAACCTACCGGCCATAATTGTATTCCCTTCGTGTCAAATGGACCTGAACTATTGGGAAAATGACTATCATATAGTTGATGTTTTGCCTATTTCCTCCGAAAAGGGTGTTGACACTAGGAGACCAAGAAAAAAAAGAATCTGGGAGAGTTTGGGGCAAATAAGGGCTGATACAAACACCACTTGGCCAAACGTGGCATCCCAACGAGATGTGACAGTTTGTAGACAACTAGGGCATAGAAAACTACTACAGCCCTCACGCACACACACCAGCAAGCAAACACTACACGCCAGTCAACCAACTGAACAACAACACCGGGAAGACAACACATTACCAGCACATCAATCTAAGTCAGAGTACTCAAGAGAAAAGAACCGCGCAACTATACCACAACCTCACTCAACCAAGCAAGTGTACTGAAGAACCCCTAACCGAGCACGCTACCAACTAACACTTTAAAAATTGTATCAACTTTGTGGGGAAAACTTGGTAATTTTGGTATGTAATTTATCGTTAAGTAGGTGTGCTAAGACATTTTAGGATCCATGTTTGACTTTCATATTATTTTTTTTGGGGATGTGATTGGGATATTTGCAGATATAACTATATTTGGATGTCAATGCATGATGGAGACTTATGATTGTAATTTTCTAAGTGATACTTTAATCAATTAATAGGATATCATTTTGGTGGAACACTTCTGATGTTTTATCTTCTAAACTATGAACCTGCAATGTGTTGCAGGGTTTTTTAAAATGGATGCTTTGGCACCTTCGTTGTGATTGTTCATTACTTTGTAGAACCTTGTCAATATATGAATGCTTTCAAAACCAATTATAATATTGATGAGGGTTGGTATACCTTTTATGTTTGATGATAAATATAAATGAAGTTTAATTTATGTGATGTTCAGTATCATCTGGTTGTCGGGGGGGGGGGGATGACTGGGCAATGTAAAGTAACGATAACTTCACTTGAACAATAACAGAACATCAAATCTCATTACCAACAATGTCAGTTAAACCACATTCTTCATTAACTAATCAACGTTCCATTTAACCCCATCAAAAACCACTACGTAGACAAATAAAACAAATACATACAAAGATGAGGTTTAATCACCTCCATCAAACTAAAAACCCCAACAACACCATTTCTCCCTTCTCCCTTCTCTGACAAAAACCACAAGTATTTTTTCCAAACAAATTATCGTCCTTGGCTTTGCCATCCAAATGTACTATCGCGTTCATCTAGGGTGTAATCTTCAGTGCGCCATGTGAAGAAATTACATCCTCGCGCGCCGCTGCACTTCCTCGTTCGTACTCCGGCCCGCTGTTCAACAACATGCAATGCCGACCGAAAAAATCTCAGATAAACCCGAACGAACATGTCAACTGTTACCAAAAAAAATCAAAACACAACGTACAAAAAATACCTTGTAATTAGGGCACCCCAAAAATGCTTCCCTTGATTCTTTACAGTTTTTGCGACTCTTAATACAACAAGCTCTCCATAGTAGCATATTTGGCTGCCAACCATTCCTCCTGATGAACCACCACGTGAGGTCCCCCATGAGCAAGACAAGCATTGATTCATTGACATTGCCTCCACCAACCACACAATATTGCTTCCTTGACACCTACAAAACCACCTCAATCCCAACCACTCAACTTAGGACACCCACCTCAGAAACAACGAACTTCACAGACTGAGTTAAGACGAACAACTTAGGGCACCCCACCTTAGCTCCAAACCTTCAAATCACCTCCTTCCCCTAAGCTCGTTGGAGATTAAAATGCTGGGCCAAATCTGTATGCATTTGGTTCTTCCAAATAAAAAGGACATTTTCATACCTGGCTAAACCTAAATATGTGCATTTGCCCACGTTGGATAAATAATTTGCCACATCTTTTAACCTTTAACGTTGTTGCTACCACACTAACGGACATGACTTAATTTACACAATTTTCGTAACTTGAAAATTTAATGTCTTTATTTTTAAAACCGGATACTAAATGGAAATTCAACTCTTAACTTGAGGACTAAATAACCAATTAAGGGGGAAAACACATGATTTTTTATTAAGCCTTCTTTTGTGTTTATCTTTTAGTCAACTGTCAGATTTTATTTTATTCGCTTTCTTATAATACAATTTTAATCTTTATTTTAATTTAATTAATTATTAATGTAAAAATATACACACTATTCATATAATTAGATAGGCAATAATATATGTTTTCATATTATTACGTTCAAAAGTGTGTGATCTAGTTTCATGAACTGATATGTTTATTCTGACCTTTTTGTGGAGTTCTCTAAATACTATGAGGAATTAGCTCGTGTTTAAAAAATGGGTTTTACATATTATTCTATTTAGTTTGATAGTTAGTTTAACTTACAATTTTACATGTCAACTTATATAGTTCAAGAAAAAAACAACAACTTAAT